CAAACTGCTATTACACGTGTATATCAAACCAAATGCAATATATAACGTTAAAAAAAGTTTTATGGTAACGAGTTTAGTTATTATCTGGGATAAATGTACTATAGCTCATAAAAACTCACTCGCAGCATTACATAGAAGTATTCAAGATTTAAACCGGATTTAACCAAGACATTACCGGATATTCCTCTCTTTACATGTGCGGATGAGATTAATGCATATTTAACACAATTGTTTTTATGGTGAAATGTATTGACCATTCGACAATTCGATTGGCCATTAAAATAAGAGTAAGTGCAAAATAATTTATCATCGTAAATATTTTCCGAACATTTGCTAAATATTAGAAACGGTAAAATAAAACTGTATTAAAATACACAATGCATCACAACTTTTAGATTAATTTCTGTACTTTTGTTGAGACCAAACTTAAATTAATTGTGTCTTTCCGGATATACTGAATAATTACTTGAATTATAATTGGCTTATTGAGAGCGCAGTTTTGGCGACGAAAATATTGATGAATGAAATTAACTTCCAGATTCAACAGTTGTTACCAGGTGATCTGAATTTTCTGGATATACCAGGGATGCCATCACGGATTTCATAATATTTACTTAACTCTTAAATTAAACATGATATTAGTCATATAATAACCAAGTCACAGTAAAGCTTGGCCTGGTCAGCTAGTATAATTACCTATATATTTACATTAAAAATTAAATCCTTTCTAACGAGTACAATGTATATCCCAATGAATGATCCCAATTTTTACGCCCCTCGCAAGTTAATGTGGTTTCCAGGGCCACAATGTGGCCACGCCTGTTTTCCGTAACTGGATGCGTATATGGGTCCATATTAACGTCTCTCTAACGTTTTCTCTAGACTGGTGTACAGTTTCTCCAGAAACAGTCAGTCCGTTGCTCATGGTAACTGAAGTACCCAAGTGTATACACAGGTGAAAACTAACTGTTTAGTGGGAAATATCTATCCATAGTAATTCAAGTACTCAATGCACTAAGAGGTGAAACAAGAAACAAAATCCAAACCTGAAAAGCGTTTATTTTATAATCTTAATCGGTGCCGTGAAAGAATCCCTCTTTGAGTTTAATAAGTAAACACAATAAAAAGCAAACACGATCACTTAAATTAGCCGGCGTAAAGCAATTTAGAAAAATTTTTAGAGTAGCCGAATACAAGTAAGCTAAAATTATGATTGCTTTTATCTTTTTAAATTTACATTCTCTTAGATACTAGAGTACTGCGGAGAAGAAGTACTGTGGAGGATGAACATAACCGCGGATTTGGTCAACATTGTGAAGAGCCGTAAGCTGGAGTACTTGGGACATATTATGAGAAATCAAGGCAGATACGAGCTACTCCAATGCATTTTGCAGGGTAAAATTGAAGGAAAAAGAGTCCCATAACGAAGAAGAATATCCTGGCTTGCTAACCTGAGAGCATGGTATAGAAATACCTCAACACAGCTATTTCGTATAGCAACCAACAAAATCATCATAGCCAGAATGATCTCCAACGTTCGGAACGGACAGGCACCCTAAAAAGAAGAAGATACTACTCGCAGTTGTCATATTTGGTAATACATGTATTCCAAAAATGTTACATATATTAAGCTTAGGTAAAAAGCAAATTACTGAATTATTTAACAAATACCACTTACCATTTCAGCTTTCTCCAAACATGGGTATACATGGGATCACTTTATGTTTTGTCCATTTCACAAATAGTCGCATAGTTTTTAATTTTATCGTTTTTTGACTCTAAACATAATTTGAAACAGTGTAGAAGGCAGATTTACTTAATGAACAGTCTTCCATTACATTAGGCAGCTCGGAAGATTATAATTAAAATAACCTAAAATGTTCACATTTCGACTGGCAAAAATGATATAAAACGATAATTATTATATAATACACCTTTGTAAGCTGCAAAATAAGTGAGAGAATATGCATATATGTTTTATCGATCTCTAGATTTAAATTTGTACACATTTGCGCATGTCTGATGATCGTCAATAATCTTAAAATAGCCATAAAATATTGTGATTTAGGAACTTAAATGAAAAAACTCACATTTAAGATATAGAAAGCTTTTCTGAAGATCTACTTGGTACAGTTCGACTAACCCAAAGACATAAAACACTGAAACGATAAGAACATCTTGGAACCGATTGATTACATATTTTAAGTTCTTAAAAATCTTTGGGTCTATTCTTATATCGGCATAAATTAATTGATAAGCGACAGATTTGGTGTTTTACCTAGGAATATTAAATTCTGACTGTTTTGTCTTTTGCGTGTTATATATTTGTGAAATCTATATCATAATTGAGGAGGTAGCGTTCAAAAAAGGATTTGTTACAATAAATCACATGTTGAGATTTTGGTGTCATTTGAAAACTTATTTTTAACCCCACATGTTGTCGTATGGTTTTTCACATATATTATGGTAGCGGAACAAAACAAGTTTTGTCCACCTTAAATAATTAATCGGAAAAGTTTAGTCACAACTAGCCAATCAAGGCAGCATTCGCCCTACCCATGATGCTCTGTTGTTTGAGGTTAGGAGTTTTCACAATGTTTTGTTCAGCTTCATTGTTACCGTGTCGTAGAGCTAGTAGTGTTTAATTTAATATTAACTAGGATGAGTAAAGTTATTGATGACTCTTTTGTAAGTGTGAAAGATGGAAATGATGGCTCTAGGAAGAAGACTATTATTCCACAAAAGAGAAAATTGGCAAAGAAGAGAAGACTAATCCAACCTAAAGGTTACAATACCTTCAACTCGTGCTCACATTCCTCTAAAAGGTTTTCGTGTAAAAGCTTTACTCCCAGTGATTGTTCTCATGTGACGAAAAACTTGCTATCTGTGCCCAATAAAACTGCTCAGGACAACTTAATTCCAAGTCATGTGTCCCTTCAAAACATCAAAGAAGAAGGCCACGAAATACAAGCAACGAAGCACGGCCTAACTCTTGTTCTCTCGAGTACATTTGATTAAACAAAACAAAAAAAATATCAAGGTATGTAAGAAGTTTTTTATGTCAGTGATGGATAGTCAGATTAAGCAACATTATACAATGTATTCATAAGGAAAAACATCTAAATGAGAATAGGGGTGGGGCGACCGCAAAACTGGCAAAGGCGCGTGTAAGAGATTTCATAAAAAAAGTTAAGAGGTAAAGAGACACATTATTCTAGAAATAAATCAAAGCGCATCTATTTGGATCAGGACAAGAACACCACAAAAGTATGGAAAATGTATAATAATTTACAAGATGAAATCTCGAAAACGATGTTTCGAAGAATTTTTCAAACCTTTAATATTGGATTTCGTTCCCTAGCGTCTGATGTATGTAGTTACTGCTATTTTATAGCATTTAGCATATAGCATAACAGCATTTTATAAGTCTATGAAAAAAGAAGAGTGTGGTTTACTCACTATGTGCTTCGACTTTCAGCAGATTCAACCGTTGCCAAAATCAGCGATTCAAGAATCATATTACTCTAGGCAAATTGGATTATACTAGATATCTAGTTTTGTGTTATTGGAATTGACGAAAAGAACATGACATTTTATATGTGGACAGAAGATGAAGCTGGAAAGGGTTCTACTGAGGTCTCTTTAGCTATTTTGCAACGCCTTCAAAGCCTTGATCTACCTGAAAATGTTCTTCAGGCCATCAATCAGACTTTTTTGTGATGGGTGTGGTGCTCAAAATAAAAACAATTTCGTTTTGCATACACTTATGCACTTTTTGATCACAACTAAGTCCAAAGTAACAGACATCACAATTACATTTCCGGTGAGAGGACACAGCTTTCTTCTTGCCGACCGAGTGTTTGGACGAGTGGAAAAATTGTTGCGTAAACAGCCAACTATCCTTCACAAAGAACGCATACAGGTTGATGATGATAATGAAAAGACTCACACAGTCGGGAGCTATCTAGATTCGTGCTAATATCGATGTTTCATAACTTGTTAGAATCCTAAATACATCTTGTGGAGCACTACCAATCGACAAGAATTTTTTGATCGCTATTTAACCTTTGCAGTGATCAACATCAAATAAACGGCCGAAGATCCATACAGTATTAAATTTGAGCAAGCAGAACTGTCAAGAATATTTTAGTCAGTAGTTGAAGTGGCATTATTTTGGAAATATATGGAAATGTGTCAACAAGCGAATTTGGATCAAGATTGAATTCGGCAAATGAGCGAGTTTCGTTTTTTTTTTGTGGAGGAGGCTTCATAAACAAAAGTCTAAACCAGCTGATGGGGACGCTGGAGATGTAGGTTGAAGATGATGAAAACTCCGTCGCAGGAGAATGTTCACGATTCTATTCCACCTCTTGGTACAGATAAATTTTTACAACCAACGTTGGTACAATCAAATTGTTTTGATGTACTTGAAAGAACCCCCCCAAATCTTTAAAATAATTCTGTGGAAATAGGCAGTTGATTTGGACAAATAGGTTTTGGGTTCGATAAAGTTTCGGAATTGAATGGATAGATTACGTAACGCATGATGCAGGGATGATCAGTGGTTCTTAACTGGAAAACCAAATTGCAAATGCAACAAAATGATGTAAAAAAACTTGAGAAACTGTTCTAAATAAATAAATAAATAAAAATTTGAGGCTGTGTTGCGACTTTTGATTAAAATATGTATAAAAAGGATAGATTATAATGTTTGTGGCGTATAAACATTTGTTATATTTTTTTCCTTGTTCATCTCCCTATTTTAAGTTGCTTAAATATGTATGTATTGTGACCTATTACCTTTTAAAACAATTTGTAAACATCACTTACGATCACTTTGTTTGTTATTGTGAAACTACATTAACACTAAAAATACGGTGGAAAAAAATTTAAACGTGAGATAAGAATCCTTTTCATATTTACATACGTGACCAATTTCTCATAAATGACCATTAATATCACGTAATTTCCTTATTTTAATGATATTTTTTATGTTTTAGGCACTGATTTGCAGATGTGGCGGGCTGCCATTGACGACAATCCGGATCCCAAGAAATACATCCCAGTGCCTGTAAATGGGTTTTCTACACTCAGATCTAGGTTGCTTAACCAGGAACATCAAACAGGATTACATCAGGCGTTTCTCGACAAAGTGAATAAAGAAATTACTGATTTGAAAATTAGACATTCTGCGTCTGTGGCAAAAAGTAACGAACTCAAATCTAAATTTTATGAGCTACAGCATAGAATATTAAGGGTAAATATTTTCTTTTGTTGTGTAACGACACGAAACTGTGTATTTTGAGACATGAAGTTTGATTCTTTGGCCTTTATTGCGTCCAATTGGTCACTAATTAAATTTCGTTTGTCATGACTGTATAACTTTATCGCTTTTTCGGAACCATACAGAGTGTACAGATTTTTCTTTACTGAATCTAAACTCTCAACTATTTTTTGGTTTACTTATTAGCTTTTATAGATATTATGTCATGATGATTCTTTGATGTTACGTAATCAAATCGGCACTTCTTCAGACGAAGTAACGTATTTTGGGTTTTTTATTAATTTTACATTAAGGTGGTTACAATGGTAAAATTTATATTCTTTATAGGTACAGTTATCGTCATTATTCAAAACAAATCTTCAACTTATGATTATGTACGTGAACTGTAAACTTTCTATTTTAATGATATCTAGTTAAAATTTCCAAAGAAAGCAGTACATTTTTTATAACTGTACTTAAATGAATCCATGGCATAACTTACTTGGTAAACTGCGTAATATTTGGTATTGTCTAAAAATTTCTGAAGTTAGGATCCAAAAAACTACTTTAAATGATTAACTATCCAAAAATCTTTATTTTAAGCAAACGTTCATTATCCATACTGTCGTAATTTTTAAATTATCTGTCCTTAAAGATAAAATTACAATTAAAATTTGCAAACTAGAGATTTTACTGTTGATATTACCGCAACAAGTTGTCATTTTGGTAGGTAGTGGGAAGTTAGTTCTCACTACCTACAATTTAAGAAAAATCTGCAAAACATTGAAAACGAGTTTTGTGGTTATGCAGTTGTCTATGAGTTATGCTTTAGAGAGTTCTCTTTCCTTGTCTAAGGGTTATGCTTTAGAGAGTTCTCTTTCATTGTCTAAGGGTTATGCAGTAATCGTGGAAACACGAATCACGTGATTGTTTAGCCAAGCGACCCTCCCAGTAAACATTTTGGTCTTATTTGACTTTTAATCATGATTGTATAACGTCAATGTCTTAAAAATTTTATCCTTGGCACCGTGACGTTATATAATCGTGGTTGAAAGTTTTAAGACCCAAAATGTTTCGAATTTTTTATTGGGGGATTATAATGGTTTTTGAAGAATACATAGATTACATAAGCTCTACCAATTCACGTGGGGCTTATCTATACTCAGATGCAAAAAAAACGCAACGGAGAAAATTTTGGTCAAATTCAAAGTATTTATTTTTTTTTATTTTTAGCCCTATTTTAATGATTATTTTAGCACACTGTGTATAAATTTATAAAATTTTAATTTGATATAGTCGGTTTTTTTATAAATACATATTTATATTTGACTTATTGTACGGGGTTAATTAAAATGTGGATTTATTATTCTCACTGTGAAACATCCTGTGGAATAATTCCGTTTACCAATTTTCGTAAAACCCTATTTTTCGGTTGCAGCCATGTCTCCTAAGCATTGTGTTTTTTGTTTCATGTCAAAATATGCCCTGGTTCATTTATTAGAGCCAAATGAATTTGACACCCACAATTTAGGACTTTTCTATTTATGATTATTTTGGAGTTATTTTGTAATACGGCGAGGTGGCTTTGGTGACTGTTATCATTAAGTCATATTGACACTTGCTTTTTATTTACCTATGACTGATCATGGTTCTCAGTGTCGAAGATTGTACGAAAACCGTTGCTCTAGTTGAAGATGAACGAAATTATGAATATGTGGCTAGAGTACTACACACTCATCGCTCTACCATCAAAGGTTAGTGGAACGTTTTATACGAACTGGAACAAACAAGCATAAAGGAAGTGGCACATCTTTAAGAGGTTCGAGGCAATAATGTAAGTGTATTTACATTCGTCGAAGATCACATCAATTTGGTTTGCAAAGTTGCAGACCAGCAACTGGGCCCAAATTACTTCCACGGCACAGAGTGGTTAGACTACAATTTTCCAGCGAACATTTACATTGGAATTTAGGACAATGGAGTAATGTTCTTTTTACGGATGAGTCGAGATACTTTCTTCACTCATCAGATGGGAGAGAACGAGTATGGCCTCGAACTGGAGAGAGATTTGCGGAGTGCTCTTTCAGTCTCCGCGTTAATCATGGAGGTGGTTCGGTGATGCTATGGGCAGGAATATCGCTAGAGGCGCACACTGAATTGGTATTTATTGAGGGTTCGTTGACTGCACACCGGTATATTGAAAAAAATTTAGCGAATCACGTAGAACCCTTTGCTCAATATATCGGCGATGATTTTCTTTTAATGCAAGATAATGCGCGATCCCAACAAAGAAATATTTAACAATTGTATAAATATAAATAGTAAGTTACATATGCACACTTACAAAAATACAATAATGTGAATCTAGCATGTGACACAGATGTGAGCACACAAATGTAAGTACATGATATTAACTGCGATAAATTCAGGAAATGTTGTAGTTGTTAATCAAAGTCTATTTAGATATTTATTATTTGTTACTATTGTCCATTAATATGTTCTTCCTAGAATTGTGTTGTTTTGTTTTCAATCCATTGTTTAATTTCATATTTATATCTACGTTTTTTAAAATTTCTAATTTGTTTTAAATTCTCTGGTGGAGAATTGCATAATTAGGGCTCTATGTAACCAACATATCTCTCTAGTATGGATTTATTACATTTAGGTAAAATTGCATTATTCCTTGAATATCTAGTTTGATGGACATGATTGTTAAAGTTTAATATTAACATGTTTTCATGTATATTGTGTAAGGACCTTGTAACAGAATAATTTACATACAGTTAAAAATTGACTTTTATTATATAAGAGATCGCAAGAATATATTTCAGAAAATTTTTCCCATAAATAATTCTAATTATTAAAGGTTACAATATACATCGATGTCGGACTTCCCTCATAATTTAAATTTCTCCGGATATTTCATCCCCAATTTTGACTGCTAGTACTTGCTAATTGGTATTAATTTGTTATCTCTCTATCGAAGGCTTTGTTGTAGTTTATGAAACAGACTATGAAACAGACTATGAAACAGAAAGGTCTTGATTATCTCACGATACATAAAATCATTGTAGATTTCAGAGAAGTGTATGATTCTCTAAACATGGATATGAGGGAAGGATATCCAGGAAGGAATAGTGTAAATGGAAGTTTCTAGGAAGCTATACGCAAGAATGAGTATGGACGAATCAGAATTGGCAGCACTAATATCACATAAAATCCAAATAGAAATTGGTCTAAAACAAAGATATCCCCAATAAAAACAGCCAGAACAGACAACTGACTTTGCTATTAAAAATCGAAAATATTGTTGACTTCTGCTAAGGAAATTGGTCCTAATGTCAACAAAGATAAGACCAAGTACATGGATGAATCTGAGAACATTAGTTAATAAAATTTCTAAGTCATTAAAGAATTCAAATACCAAAGAGCATTCGTGACAGCAGAAAACAGCTATGAAAATATGTGGAGCTAAAATCATTTCAGGGTACAAAGCATATTATTTTCTACGAGATATTGCTTAAATCAAGATAACGCTCAAGATCGGTGAAGATAAGGATATAAAATATTAACCCGCCTCAATGAATGGAAGCTAAACACTAAATCTGAACCAATATGAAACAGCAAAATATTAGTCTTAGAACGCAAGATCCTGCGGGTTATCTCGCAAAGGCGAGAAAGAAATTGTGAAATTCGTCTGGTCCTGGAGACTTTCAGTTGTGGATCGCGTTGATAATATTCGAAACTCTTTCAGCTGTGAATGATTCGTAAGGAGTATTAGTTATCATCTTGAAAAGTGTTTCTCGTTTTTTCGATCCACTCAACGTTGATGTAAAAAGTAGCTGTTGTTAGTTGCTTTTCCCAAAACTTATTAATTTCTATGATAGGCGTTTGATGACTTGCTACTGTGCATGTTATCGATGATCGTTCCAAATATCAGCACTCTACAAAAATCTACATGTTGAAGTCACGAAGAACCTGACCGAACCGTTGTCTAATCTAGATGATTCGACACTGTTCCAATCATGCTATGCGAACGATCCGAAACAAGACTTAATGGCATTGAGAAATTTCTGGAACTATAGGCGCACTATATATAGAGAACAATTTAGGTTTTAAAGTTAGTCTAATAAATATTTTTGTAACATGAAATAAATAAATGGTATAAATTAATTGTGTTTTTATTGTTAGTTTTAAATGACTGTAAATAAAAAATAAAATAAACAACACAATAATTTAGTAGTACTTTCTACAGTGAATTATTATTATTGGATATAATTTAAATTTTATAATATATTCCCAAAATTTTACTCAAAATATATTCAATGATTTTAGATTTTGGTCAAGCAGGAATGTACTCGTAAAGTAGGTGTTGCCATTTTACCAGAGGAGGAAATTTTACGAGGTAGACTCGAAACCATGTATCAGCTGTTACACAATCCCAAACAGTTCAAGGTGAGCTTTTTTTTCAAAATACTATGTTCTTTAAGGGGTTACATAATTACAGCAATAACCTATCGGTGTGAGCAAGCATTTTCTTCCTAAACACCTAAACAAATATAGGAATCGGCTTGACATGCGGGATTTCAGAGTGAAAGTTTTAAGTTTGTAACCTAACATTATAGAAATAATGGATTCTAAGGTTAAATTCAACGTATCTGATTAATTGAGGAGTGAAAATTAAAACTAATAATGTATTTGTGTAGGTACTCTGTAGTATTTTCACAAATAAATCCTAAATAGCATGAGTTTGATTTATGTTTTCACATATTTTGGCTCTTTTCAGGTAACTTTAGGTTTGTTTAGGTCTTTAGGAAATAGTGGGGGTCCTCGTCATTGTAGTACCTTGATGAAGGAGTCCTTCATCAAAAATTTAGTTGGGAACCCCTGCTCTAAGGGAAGGTGAAAGACCAAAGGGGTCCAGGAAGATTATACTGAGCTGTAAAGATAATCATGATGGCAATATAGCTATCAACATAACCTTCAGCATCTGGAACGGATAGAAACCATAAGAAGAGGAAATACTCTCTTTTTACAATTCAAAAACAGATTGAATAAGTGACAATGTAAATTATTATCATAAAATTGAACTGACAATTGTTTCTAAATAACTCCGTTTGCGCTCATTGGGTACGAAATAACAAATAATTTTTATGAATATTAGAAATATACTCAACTTTTTTACATATTATAATTAATTTAATTTATACTTGAGATTTAGCAAAAAAACTTCACTTACTTCTGTGGTAGGTGTATAATCCTGTTCATAATAATTTTCATTATAAGTTTCGTCAGAGTCCCATCCAAATAAATGTTTAAAAAAATCAGTAATTACATCCATTTTTACTACCTAGGCACAACTGAATATTATTTAAAATAACATTTTATATTATATTTTGTAATTAATTCGATTAGAAACGTATAAATTTTGCTTTGATTCGATATTATATAATACAAAATAACTTAAATGAAAACAAAATTTAAGGAAGTCATATTGTATATTTTGGTATATCCACATAATCACGTATAATTTGGAAACATTTAAAATAATATTAAATTAGTTTTTATATAGCAATATCAGTACTTCTATAATTTCATGCTTAATTTTTCATTTAATCTCAAACGTGTAGTCCTCTTTTTCTTGTTTAAAATCTCACCTACTATGCACTACCCTCATCCAGTTGTCATTTAACTATTTAGTTACTACCACTAACTAGTGTTGGTGTTAGTTCTCCATTTTAATAACCTCTTTGCCCATCAAACATATGTCTTGTTTGCATGTCACTGGATGGCGCAATTACATTTAAAAAAAGTGCAATTACTCACTTTGTTTGGTCGGTTTTCTAATGATGCCTGGGGTTTATTGATTTACCTCTCTGCATTCTTGATTCATTGATTCAGAATTACAATTTCCGATTGTTGAAAACTGGCTGGTCACTGAAAAGACACTGGCAGTATTCATTCCATCTGTTGAGGATCTTTGTCTCCTCTGCTAGTGTCTACATTTGTTTACTTTCGATCACAAGTGTCCTTGGTGTGATCTCTCGAATATTTTGATTGATTTTCACAAATTGCTATCTTGATTCGTGTCTTTATAGTTCTCGATCTCCTGATATATCTCCTTCATGATAAAATACAAACTGAAACGACTGTGTTGCCAGATCGCGCAACCACACACTACGTGGAGTAGTAAATGCAGTTCCATGCGTGTTTCTTAATAAAATAAAGTAATTTAAAATAAAATCTTCCTCTCCTTCTTCCGCTTTTCCTATTATGAGTTCGCCGTTTTCGTCCTCCACAGCACCCTATTCTCCCAGTCACCTTCTCTGAGGTCTCTCTCATCTATCATAGCATTTTCTATGTATATTTTCCTTCTTATAGGTCTTCCTATCTGTATTATTCTCGGCGGGTCCCAGTCCAATATTCTTTTCGGTCTTTTGTGATCTGCCATTCTTTGTACATGCTCGTACCACTGCAAGGCTCTGTTTTCAACTTTTTTTGTAATTGAGCATTCTACATCTTCGTCTCCTTCTTCCGCATTTTCCCATTATGAGTTCGCCGTTTTCGTCATCCATAATACCCTATTGTCTTAGTCACCTTTCCTGAGGTCTCTATCTATCATAGCATCCTATGTATATTTTCCTTCTGGTAAGCAGGTATTCCTATCTGTCTTCTTCCCGGCGGGTCCCAGTCCAGTTTATTTTCGGTCTTTTGTATTCTGGCATTCTTTGTATATGCCCGTACCACTGCAGGGCCCTGTTTTCAAACTTTTCTGTAATTGAGCATTCTACTTCCATTATGTTCTATATTTCTTTGTTCTTATTCTATTCGCTCTGGTGACGTGTAGACATCTTCTCATAAAGTCCATTTCAACTGTTTTTATTTTACAGTGGAGTCTCGGTAATCCGAAATAATTGGGACCGAATCCATTTCGGAATAAACAGATTTTCTTAAAATAGTCTTTTAATAAAAAATAACAAATGGTATGCCTTTAGAACAGTACTTTCGTTTTGAACGCAATAAGAGTGTATGATAATAACAAGGAAGTAAGAACCCTTTAATAGAAGACTACATTCATCTGAGACGTACGATCAAACACCGTTTTTTAAGACAAAAAGTTAGAGACAATAGCAGAAATTTATCCCGGGCCCAGCGCTTCTCAAATTTCATGCATAGGTAAATTTGCTAACATGATTGATACAGAAAACTACTCGCCTTAGGAAATATATATTGCTGATGAAACAGGTTTAACTTCAAGGCATTGCCAAGAAGTCTGGCTGCTAAGGAAGAACTAAGCGCTCCAGATTTGAAAATCAGCAAATAACGAGTAACCGTTTTAGCACGTTGCATGCTGCAGGAACTCACAAACTACCTCTTATAGTTATTGGGAAGTCGGAAAAACCAAGGGCATTTAAAAACATTACTGTCGATTCTCTACCTGTAGGAATTCCAAAAAAGATTGGATGGGCGCACATCCTTTTATGGAATGGTTTGAAAACCAGTTCGTTTCAGAGGTTAAGCGTTTTTGTGAAACATCAGGCTTGCCAACCCGTGCTTTGCTTCTCATCGACAATGCAACGTCTCAGCCGTCAGCTGGTAAATCAGTTTGTGGAGATATAAAAGCTGGTTTCCTACCACCAAACGTTACCATGCTCATACAGCCAATGGACCAGCACGTTTTGCAGCATGTGAAAAGCAGCTCTTGAGGCGACTAATCAGTGATGAGGATAAATTACGGACACTATTAGAAAAACTTCTTCTTCTTATTCAGATGCAAATCCACGAATGGATGTCAGCGATCACATTTTCCATTAATTCTCTATTTCTTGCAATATGTATCAGAGATTGTATGTCGTTAATCCCTATCCATTGCCTTATGTTTCGGAGCCAGGACATTTTCTTGCGTCCCATTCCTCTCTTGCCTTCAATTTTACCCTCGATTATAAGTTGGAGGAACTGGCATTTTTCATTTCGCATGATGTGACCTAGATACGCCGTTTTCCTTTTCTTGGTGGTTTCGAAGAGTTGGCGTTTATTCTTTTAAGGACATCTATATTTGTGATTTTCGCTGTCCATGGTATTTTTAGGATACGGCGATAAAGCCACATTTCGAAAGCTTCTAATCTGTTTATATCCCTGGTTTTGAGTGTCCAGCCCTCTACGCCATATAGCAGCACTGACCATACGTAGCACTTAGTAAACCTTAGTCTCAGTTGAAGATCGAACTCTGAACAAGTCAGTACCTTCTTGAATTTTACGAAAGCTTGTCGAGCTTGCTCAATGCGACATTTTACTTCCCTGTCCGATGCCCACTCTTCAAAAAGCCACGATCCCAGGTATTTAAATTTACTCACTCTTTCAATGGATTTAGTATTCAGTGTTATGGTGGAGTTTTCAAGTGCATCCAAGTTTCTGGAGATGATCATGAAT